GGTACTCATTCTGTGTATTTGGTGTAGTGCCCATTTGGCTTGCAATATTATGCATGTGTTCTTTGTGGTCCTTATGTGGCTTTTGAAATGGCTGAAATGTGGTGATTGCAAGCTTGTACACAGATGAAATTATATTTGATGGATGGTTGGACTTATGTTACTTAAAATTTAGACATCCATGGTTGGTCCTTATATTTGATACAGCATATGCAGTGGTTGGCCTAACTGTGAATTTTTTGCTTATCTTTTCTTCTGTCCATCTTGTTTGAGTCATACAGCATATGCAGTGGGCTAGTCCTGCTTTCTCTTTGTTTGACTACTACTACTACAAGTACTACTACTACTACTAGTACTACTACAAGTACTACTACTACTAGTACTACTACTAGTACTAGTACTACTACTTGTACTACTAGTACTACTACTTCTACCACTAGTACTACTACTTCTACTACTTATACTACTTTTTTTCTTGCATCTCTTAGAACAAGGCACGAAATGTCATGAACATCAAAGAGTGCATCCCGATGCCCCATGAATGATGAGCAGCCATCCCATGGAGAGCAAGAACTAGATGACCAACTTACTCAAGAGCAGTTCGATAACGAGTTAGAAAATGGTCTAGAAGTGATGCTTACTCAGGAGGACCTTGTCGATGATGAGGATCCAGTGGGGGGAGCCCAGGGAAGAGAAGGCGGAGAGGATGCCCAAGGCAAAGAAGGGGATGATGATGAGGATGATGACACCTCATCAGGGGGATATGTAAGTCCCGAGGATCCTTTCCCATGAGAACACAGACGGAGGCCAACGGAGGACGAGTAAAACAAGGATTTTGATCCGAACGACGAGGTACGGATAAAGCCTTAGTAGCTTGTAAATTTGGCTAATGCTATGGCTATATGTTACCTCTGCTAACACTTTTGACTTGCCGTATACATAGGTTGTCCCTACTCAACCTCTGAAAAGACGACGTCGGCCTCCGGCTCGTCTTGCCGGACAATACGTAGCGGGGCAAAGGAGATCAGAGGAAGGAGCCATAGATACTAACAATGAGGCCTCCGCTCCACAACCTCAGGACACAACCACGACTGAGACTGCCCAGCCAAAGAGGAAACGAGGGGGGATTAGAAAGCCAAACCAATATCACGACAAGGCATGCTATGTGATAATGGAGGTCGGGCCAGATGGGCAGATCCTTGAGCCATATACATAAAGGCAAAATTCCGTAATCACATCGGGTTTGTAGTTAGAGATAAGTTGAACCCAGCTATCCGTGGCTGGAATCTTGTACCTATGAGCCAAAAGGTAGACCTATGGGAGAAGTTGAAGCAGAACTTTAGGTTTCCGGAGGGAACGCACGAGTTGGCACAAGAAAATACTTTTAAGATAATGGGGTAGAGCTTCCGACGTTGGCGGTCGGATCTGAACAAGAACTTTATCCAATAGAAGTTAACTCCTTTCCACGAGTATGGAAACATAACTCCTAGTCAATGGGAGGAGCTCGTGGCTGAGAAGACTTCAGAGGCATCATTGGCCCTCAGTGCCCATAACAGCGAGCAGGCGAAGAAGAACCAACACTACCCTCGTCTAGGCCCCGATGGCTACGCTGGCAAGCAAGAGGTCTTTAGGAAGATGGACGCAGAGGCCGAAGCTGCTGGGAATACGGAAGTGCCGAAGTTGAAGCAACGCCTCAAACAGTGGATATACGCGAGGAGTGTGGATTCATCCGGTAGTAGCCTCAAGTTTGCTAAGTCGGAGATCGGAGAGGTAGTATCAAAGATACTGAAACTTGTTGAAGACAAGGAGAAGGGCGCATTCAACCCTTATAGAGAGAGGGACGAGCTTACCGTTGCCTTGGGAAACCCCGAGCACACAGGATGCACCAGGGGGCTAGGGAAGAGGATGTCCTGGAAGCACGGATTCGTAGAGGAGAGGCACATGTACAAGAAACATGGCAGAGACCGAGAGTCTAATCTTGAGCGCCAAGTGAAGGCTCTAGTTGAAAAGATGTTGGTGGAGAAAGGACTGTCTACGATGGAGCCACAAACACTAATGGGGCCGCTCGGAGAACTAGCGGTAGTTGGCAGCCCTCTGGATGTTCCTAGTAGTCAAGGTTCCAATGCAACTGGAACCCCCATCGATCGCATACGGGCGCCAACCAGTTGCAAATTGGTGGTTCTGATGGGCAGGCAAAACATGATCATTGAGGTGGCAACGGGCGTGGCACATCCTTTGGGCGGCACGTGGCACAATAGCGACATCCTGTAGGACTACACTCGGGTCGAGGTGCATACCGTGAAGCCCGAGTTCATGACTTGGAAGATAGAACACCCTACTCCCGAGGGGCTCGTGTTACTCAGAAACATCATGAACCAGTTCATCCTCTGGCATAGATGGGACATTGTATTGATCGAGTCTTCGCCAACTCTGACTGAAGTTCATCCTCTGGGAGCGACCCATCGAGGGACGGGAGGTATACTCACCGCCCATGACCATGACCACCACACGCTAGAGACTTCTCCACCCCGTCTCGAGAGCAAGGGCATGATGACATGCCACGTCCTTCTCCACCTCGACCGAGCATGGGCATGATGACATGCCACGTCCTTCTCCGGCTCATGCATCGAGCAAAGGCATGATGAGATGCAACATCCTTCTCAACAACAAGCAATCGATACATGAACAATAAGTGTCTCATGAACAGCAATTGCCTCGTGAATAGCCGATACGTGAAGAACAAGTGGCCCCTGGAGCAGGTGATGCACAAGTTGACAAGGACGTGCCCGAATGGGAAGCTCGAAACAAAATCCCAATCAAGATAAGGCCATCGTATGTGGGCATTAATGACATCTCGTCGATGCACAAGTGGATGGCCCATGACCAGTTCAAGCCTAAGAACCAAGTAAAAGAATTCAGAGCACCAGCTTCTGAGGAGGGCACCACTAGCAAACTACACAAAGGGTTTAACAAGTATCCAGTTGTTGATAACCTCAAATGGTCAAATGATTGCCCGGATAAATATGAAAAGGCAAGAACTTTCTACCAAACCGAGTCATACAGTGCTTGCCACATGGAATGAGAAAGTTCCACGATTGGTACTTGCGTGCTCAGATAACAGAACTAGAAATCTTACAAGCATGGATCCCTGCCGTCACATTTGGAGCCCTAGGTGGGCAAATTGCCATTGAGTTTAAGGATATCCAGGCATGCTTCCACCTCGGATGAATGGAAATGAATCTAATTCGCATGTGGTGCCTGTAAGTCCTTGCCCTCTCGATATGATATGAATGTAATCTTTTAATTTTGTTGTAACTAACCCGTGCCATGATTTGTAGAATGCAAGCGGACTTTGTGAGAAATCGGCCAGCTCTGAAACATGGGTATATAGACCCTTCACCTATAGCATCAACAAATTTTAATTACCCTAAAGAGTGGAAACTAGATTGTAAAGAACTAGGAGGTGGAAAGACACTTAAGGAGAAAGAGGACATCAGGAACAAGAAAATATTGGAAGAGTCCCTCAAGGTTGCGGCATACATTGCCCTATGTTTTAAAAATCTCCAACAACACGATAATATATGGATACCATACCACTTCAAGTAAGTTCGACTATATACTTAGCTTTGTTCAATATACTTTGTTCGATGCAAAAGACCTTATGTGTTCCTTCTATGACTAAATTCATGCAGCGATCACTGGATTTACATAGACGTCTGGCTCTCACATAGCATGGCATGGGTCTTTGATTCAGCGGATTTCCCAGTCGAGACATACAAAGACTTCATAGCGATTGTCAAGACGTATACATATCGACAATCCTCATTTTAGCTACTATGTTTGTATACATACTTGTAAGGTTCAATGTGGGATACTAATAAGTTGCATTTGCTAAAACCATTGAAACAGGGCATTCAGGCACTATGTCCAGGAACATAAGGGGAGGCATCATCCAAATAGGAAGGAAAAGTTGTATGTCAAAACTCTATATGCGATAAGTGTCATTTACTTTGGTACTCCATATATTACGTGTTTGTCAATAGCATTACTTAACATCTCCATATGCAAAACACACAGTGCCCCAAGCAGAAGCCTGGGAGTCTACATTGTGGATACTACACATGTATTATGATGAGTACCATCGGTGGCTACAACAGAACCCCAATCTGGTAAGTTTGAACCTCTTCGCTCATAGTATGAAAAGTTCACATATGTTGTGATATAGTAAACCTAAACTTGTTCTTTTGTAGTTGGAGAAAGATAAAGACACGAGAAGGAACCCATACAGGGATGATGAGCTCTTAGAGATGGTCGGCGACCTTTGCAACTTCATAATGGACCAGATTGTGTACCATAAAGGCACTTACCATCATCTTCTTTCCGACTTAGGTAGTAATCTTCTATACCAACACCTTCGTGAGACTGATAGGCTAGCCCTAGGCCTTTGATGACAATGTGGACTTGTGGTATGGTTTGGATCAGACTTTGGAACGGTTTGGACTTTGTTTTGCATGTGGACTTGTGGATTTCTTAATGGACTATGTTATAATGATGGACTTCATAATGGACTATGTTGTAATGGACTTTTGTGAATTATGACTTGTGATGATGTTCTAAATAATGGTCTTGTGTTTGTGGATGTATATATGTATATTTGTGGCGGTTAGATTCGAATTTGAATTATATATATATATGTGGTCAGATTTGAATTTGAATTTTTTTTCTGGAAAATCCACAATAGGGGCGGTTCTTAATTGAACCGCCTTACAAACTACACAAGTAGGGGTGGTGGTGATATACCGCCTACAGAAGTCCACTCTGAGGCGGGTGATATTACTGTACCACCCCTCAGAGAGGACACTGTAGGGGGGTGGCTGAAAACACCACCACCCCTGAGAGAGGACACTGCAGGGCGGTCAAGAAATCGCCCCTCTGAGGCACCCTCTCAGGAACACCACAGGAAGAGGCGGTGGCCTTGGCGCCCCTATAGTTAACTTTTGTAGTAGTGTCTGGCGGTGTGGTCTTGAGCATCGCCGTCCCCGTCACGTACCTCGAGGAGAGTGCCTACAAGCTTCTGAGAGAGGCGCTAGTGAGTCGGATACGGCTGCCCACGGTGAACGGCTCGGCGCTTGGCCTCAACGTCTGCTATGAGAGCCAGTCGCTGGCCACGGTGAAGATCCCGGGCATGGCGCTCATCTTCGACGGCAACACAGTCATGGAACTGGAGGTGGGCAACTACTTCTACATGGACGCCAGCATAGAGTGCCTGACGATAATGCCGTCGCCGGACGGGCACGTGTCGCTCCTCGGTAGCCTCATCCAGGCCGGCACGCACTTGATCTACGACATCCATGGTTTGACGCTGGCGTTTGAATCACTCCAGCAAGCGTCGTCATCGTCGCCGCCGCCACCGCCGTCAAATAATTCCTATCAAGGGACGCCAGGGCATCGGCTGTCATCAGCTCCACCGCCACTCATCTCGTTGCCAATGCTCTTTGCCCATTTCTTGTGGGTCGCGGTGTACAAGGTTTTATGAATTATCGATTGCCATATAAGTTTGATGGTGCATGGGATCGGAACATTGCTCCACCAAAAAAGGGAAGCTCGCGAAAAAAATAAACTGTCTAATCATGTAATTTCATGTCATTTTAGCGTATACCAAAATTTAGCGGTACGAGGAACCAGACACTCAGATAGTACTACTAGTTTTCTGTTCTCTTCTGAAAATGAGAGTATTAATCAACAATATTGCCTTGAGTACGTATGTGGTTTCCCAGCAAATGTTCTCTAAAATCACTGATATGTTGTTGGATTTAACTGGGCTTGGCCTAATTTTATTTAATTAAAATCAAATAAATCGTAAGGTCCAGAACGAATGCTAGGCGCGATAGAGACTGCATGATGCGACGAGCATAGGATCAGCGAGATCGGACAACCACGGCATGGTACCAGGTGGGCTGGTTTAGTCACTTGGAGCTGGTGGGTTGATTCTCATTGATAGTTGGACTTGTAACAGTTATGGTTATAATTGCGGTTACTAGTAACTCTTGTTGTTATGGCTATGGACCTACGGTTATCGGTAATGAACGCCTTTATAAAGTCGAGGTTCCTTACCTCTTTGCCTTTCATCTCTCATTCCTATAAGAAGGGTGCTCGCCTTTAGACTCACGCATGAACATACATATCAAGCACTGTCTTTATTCTATTGCTGCTGGCTGCTGCTTTCTTGTTCCCCGTTCCCCATTCCAACTCCTGCGTGTACAGGCGTTGGGACAGCAGGCCTCTGAAACCACGCCCACGTTTGCGACACTTGCTCAGGTGTGCCAGATGATCAGTTTCTTGGGAGCATCTGACGCAACTACGCGCTGCCGATCTGCATCTTCTCCTGGTGGACGTTTGCGGGACTACACTGCGAGCACCTTCCTGCATCGACTATGGTCCGTGACTTCGAGCAGCAACATATTATGTCGACTAGTACGCATTGAGCCAACAGAGCCTTAAGCTATAGTCTTCCCACAAGGTTTGTTTATGATCTTACAGTTTCTATATTCAGTAAGATACTTGTTTTGCTTACTATCAGTATGTTCGTCATGGTTGCCACTGTAGCGATTAACGTGTACATATATATATTGTCACGAAATTACTACTTTTTTAATTAAATTAAACATGAAAATGTCTAAACTTCTAACATATGCTTAAAGAGAGTTATATTTACTGCTCAAGAAATATGTTACAATATTCTTTCGCAATTAAAGACTCCACGTATTGAGTAATCTACGTGCGCCAACCACTATTTGTTACATACCTTTTGCCAAATGCACAAGTCCATGAGCCGTGTCATTATTCTCTGCCCTCACGGATTGGAATCTCATATCCGAAAGCTGTCCTGGACATATGTTTTATATCATATACTCCTTCGTCCTTAAAAATGTCATTTTTACTTTCTTAGAAGTCAAATTTATAAGAAAATATTAATATTTATAGTACATAATTAGTATCAGATGAATTGCTGAATATATTTTCATAAACTTATTTAGATATACGAATGTAGCTAATATTTTCTATAAATCTAGTCAAACTTAAGAATGTTTGACTAGCCTGAATCCTGTAATAATGCTCTTTTTTGGATGGAGGGAGTCTACCAAAAGATAGTTACGATTTATCCATAGTTAAATTACAGGCAACTACAATAACTGTGGAGCAATCATATTCGATAATTGTTTTGGCCCGTATATATTTAGCTACGAGTTGTACCCCTTCCAAACAAAATAATTTTTAACCTCCTGGACATTCATCCCATAAAAATAGCCTTCTAAGCACATACAATAGTCATATCTGCACTGTCCTGGATCACAATACCAAGGCCCCACGGCCAATTACTTGGCTAAAAGCTCCATCGATATTCACTTTCACCTAGCCCTACTCTAAAGGTTTCTAATGTTCCGATGGTCACTTGGCTTTGCTTTTGCTTTTTCTTGCCTTCTTTGTTCAGATTTTGAAATGATAGCTTGATTACCTTTCAGGTCCTCCGCTAAGTTGTAGAGAATCAATATAATTCAATTGAAAAAATGACAGATGCGACCACATGTTTAAGCTTAGCACCATGGACCACCTTATTTCTCAAAAACCAAGTTCTCCCTAACATGAGAGCAGTCAACTAAACCATTTCCTTGCTAACATAGCTTAGCAGTAAGAGAGTAACCCATCCGGTTCAATACAAAAGAATGGATCCTCATTCAGCAATACCCAATGCTTCCTCTTAGCAGAGCGCAATGTTTCATGCCTGACCACATACAACCACTGCATGGAATTCTAATTCGACCTCTAGGCCACACAACTCGTGCATATTATCCTTTTCTAGGCAATATTTCTATTTGTTTAGTCTTATTGCCAAACCATGGTTCACACTTCGCCATAGGAAAACTTTATTTTGTACGGTATACTCAGTATCAAAATTGAATTTCATAAGGTTTATCCTCCACGGAGCTCAGGCTGCTGCTGCGTGCATCATTATCTTTATCATTAGTTACATGTTCTGTGCATAATTAATAAAAAAATCATGTTATAAAAATAATAAATGAAATAGTTTCCTCTATGCACCATTATAACCTTTTATGTCCTCATAAATCACTTAGCCAGCTATTTGAAATTCTTGCTTTATTCTAGAAAACGTAGTGCTATTTCACTCGTGTGTAATTCCTTGTGAAAACTTATGGCCTGTCTATAAAGTTTGGGCCCGTGAACTTTGAACTGAAATTTGATCCTGATCGCAATGCAAAACGGAATTTTGACAAAAAGAAGAAAAATAAAGGAGGGCCCAACTTAATCAATCAGTTTGATCCAGCGAAGCCCTCGCTCCCCGAGCTCCACTCCACCTCTCCCACTCCTACCGCCGCCGCCGCCGCCGCAATCCGCCTCCGTCCGCCTCGACCTCGATCCACCTCGATGACCTTATGAGATGTGCGGCGGCGGTACGCTCCCTCCTCCCACTACCCCACCCCGCTCCCGCCGGCGCAGTCCCTATCCACACCTCCGCCCCTCACCTCGCCGCCGAGCTCGAAGCCGGCGACTCCCTCCACGCGCTCCTCTCCACGCTCCCGCCGTCGCTCCCTTCCTTCTTCCCTTGCCTCTCCCTCCTCTCGCGCCGACTCACCCCGCACTCCGTCGCCGACGCCCTCCTCTGCGCCGCGCTCCCGCCCGCTTCCCGCCTCCGCCTCTTCCTCTTCTCCGCGCTCACCCCACGCCTCCGCTCCCCGCTCCTCCACTCCCGCGCCGTCGTCCCCATCCTCCTTGTCACCGACGCGGATGCCGCCATGTACGACGCCATCGCCGACGCCCAAGCCGCCGGCCTCCAACCCCCCGCTGCCGCATTCGAGGCGCTCGTATTCGCCCACGCCTCCGCCGGACGGCACCACGAGGCGATCGAGGCCTTCTCCCGGATGGAGGGCGAGTTCGGGTGCCGCCCCACCACCTTCGTCTACAACGCCGTCCTCAGGGTCCTCGTCGCCAACGGTGGTGTCGTTCCCCTTGCCCTGGCGCTCTATAACAGGATGGTCGCCGCCGGCTGCCTGCCCAACAGGGCCACGTACAATGTGCTCATGGATGGCCTCTGCAAGCGGGGAACGGCCGTGGACGCGCTCAAGCTGTTTGACGAAATGCTCCAGAGGGGTATCACTCCCAACGTCAAGACACACACCATCTTACTATCGTTGATGTGCAATGCCGGACAGCTGAAGGAAGCTGAGAACCTGCTACATTCCATGGAAGACAAAGGGTGTCCGCCTGATGAAGTCACATACAATGCATTCCTTAGTGGGTTATGCAAGGCTGGCAGAGTTGACGAGGCCATTGAGCGGCTTGAGGCACTCCGTCGTACTGGGACCTTTGTACTTGGCTTGAAGGGCTACAGTTGCTTGATTGACGGTTTGTTCGTGGCAGGTCGGTATGAAGAGGGATTCCAGTGTTACATGGAGGTATTGGAGCAAGCTGATTTCTCACCGGACATTGTTCTGTACACTATAATGATCCGTGGGTGTGCAGAGGCTGGAAGAACCAGTGATGCCTTTGCGTTCTTCAATGAGATGAAAGCGAAAGGCTTTACTCCTGATACCTTCTGCTACAACACGCTGCTGAAGGCCCTCTGTGATGCCGGTGATCTGGATGGAGCTCGCTCGTTGACGTCAGAGATGGCGCAGAATAACGTGGTCCTCGACACCAATACACATACTACCATGATACATGGGTTGTGCAAGAAACAGCTTGTAGATGAGGCAATTCAGGTTTTTGATGGGATGGTGAAAGGTGGCTGCCATCCAACTGTTATGACATACAACGTGCTCATCGATGGACTCTACAGGGCACACAGGCTTGAGGAAGCTCGGATGCTTTTCTATAAGATGGAGGTGGGAAATAACCCTTCCTTGTTCCTTCGGTTAACACTTGGTGCAAACCAGGTGAGGGACAGTGAGAGCTTGCAAAAGCTGGTTGACAGTATGTGCCAGTCTGGGCAGGTGCTTAAAGCTTACAAGCTTCTTCGAGGCATAATAGACAGTGGTGTGGTTCCTGATGTTGTCACGTATAACACACTGCTAAATGGACTCTGTAAAGTGAGGAATCTTGATGGAGCACTGAGGCTCTTCAGAGAGCTCCAAGTCAAGGGGTTCTCTCTTGATGAGATCACTTATGGGACTCTTATCGATAGCCTCTTGAGGGCACACATATATAATGATGCCATGACATTGTTCCAGGACATATTACACAGTGGTGGCACCCCTAGTCTGTCAATCTACAATAGCATAATGAGATCGCTTTGTAGGATGAACAAATTGTCACAAGCAATCAACCTCTGGTTTGATCACCTACCCAAAAAGTACAATCTCTCAGCCCAAGATGAAGTAATTGCTAGTGCCCGAAAAAAGTTTGAAGAGGGTTCCCTGGATGAAGCAGTTAGGGAGCTAATCAAGATTGATCAAGAATATGGCTCGGTAAACTCATGTCCTTACACCATTTGGCTCATAGGCCTCATTCAAGCAAGGA